TTTGCTCTATCAGACTGAAGTGCTACAAAAACTTTAATGTTATATATGGAAAAAATACAATAAATCGAAAACGCACTATAATCATAGAAAATAATCGACAGTCACTTTTTTCGCAATTTTGCTCAGTTTCTGATGCTTATATTTCTGTCGCAGATAACACTAAAATGTGTTTTTGCATTTCAGTTTGGTAGAGCAAACATTTTTCTATAAAATGAGATATTCGACAGCTGGAGGTGCGTTTTTAAAACTGATTCGGAACGACTCTGCTGGATGCCCTAACATCGATTATTAATCGGTGCATGCCTAATCCCGATCGGGATATGCTTCCCCACGTTTTTATGAAGATAAGTGATATTAAAGTTAAAAAGTTGGAATCCAGTGTATTGCGGAATCCAATATTACCCAATATTATTGGTCCCAATAGATTGGATATGCAATAATATCGGGATCCAATATTATTGGATAGCCAACAATATTGTACAATATCTTCAATAATGATTGATACTGGTGCATGCCTATGTCATACGACATTACTTCTCGATTTGAAACAATCGCATTTATGTACTCTCTCATTCTGCTATCTGATACAGTGATATAGAATATGAATGATTCATCGAAAGTCGCTACTGACTCTTCCGGTCTTGATTATGATTGTATAAGAGCTAGTCAGTTCTGACAACTATATTTGGAAGCGACTATAAAAAAATACTGTAGCTAGCTACTCTCAATATTACCTTGTTATTATACATGAAAGAGAAGAACTAAAGAAAACACTATTTATGAAAAATAACTATGCCTCTCGACTTATAAAACTATGCTTGGTGAACATTTGACGCGAAAAGAACGGAAAGAGAATGAGGCTCACGCTTTCAATTTCTTGTGTGAACAACTGGTTTTGTAACTTCCACAGCAGATAACTTGGTTAATACAATTAATTTATTGCTCTTTGTATGAGTAATTCTATCTGCTCTACAATCTGGAGTTACACCCCTAGATCAAAACATATCAGATTCTTATATTGACCCTCGTACCACTCAGGGGATTTTTCCGTCCTAAATAAAACTTTTGGCGCACTTCTCTTTCAAGAAGACGACCGTGTATGGAACTATTTCAAACGCTACACCATACATGACCGTTTTCTCGAAAGAGAAGTACGCTCATATGGGCTTGGATGTTTTCTTTAAAACATAAAAATTAGCTTACAGATTAGAATAAAGTAGATTTTTGTTTTTTCATTTACGAATTATGGGAAATAATACAAAAAATGAGTTTCTTGGAGTTGAAAGGATTAAGTGACGTTTGAGGGACATTATAGTTTCGAAATAACTTGGTAGATTTCTAGGACACTATCTTTTTTGATCAAACGTTAGTTTAAAAACTATACAGATGTATCGGATGATTTAGTAGGATTTACCCTAGGGAGTGTTTGTTTTAACATCATCTCTTCGTTTTAGATCAAACGTTAATAACAACATGATTATTAAAATATGATAACATATCTGGGTGACTTTCATATGATAAAATGTTACATAGTGGTAATCTGGATTGTATTAAAAGAATTTAGAATCGATCATTTATCCGCTTACATTTACATAAATGCAACTTTGAAGGGTAGTTCTGTGGAGTCACCATCAGTTTAGACGAGACTTCTGTCGCATAAGTTGGGCATCCTATTTAAATGAAATACTCATGGAGAGTATTAACAAATACCGACCAAAATAAGTTCAACAATATCGACATCGAAGATAACCGAACGTCGACATGTGGAATTCTTTTGAGTTTAGGGATGACTAGTCTCAGAAAACTTTCCTGTATGAAGAGTAAGTTAAAGTCTTAACCAAGAATGCATGAAGTGTCTAAACTGGTCTACCTCTCTCCTTATGAGTGAGGGATTCCATCAAAAATAAGATCGCTTGAATCACCTCAAATGCATTCTATTGTTGGATACATTTTTTCACAAAAACAAATGAAGAAAAAATGATAGAGACTAAAATCAAGATTTTCTCTCAATGTTTACATTAACCTACACAAAACTATTGCTTTCTATCCCGATAGATTATGATCCAGATAATAGGTTAGTTTATCGTTACAATACTGCTACGTATCTCGATACAAATGTTATCGGAGACCGACAACAAAAACTTTATCTAACGGAGTATATCGCAATAAATGTTTGTGTAACATTCTAATGCGGCGTGGCTATAGATTTAAGACTTATCAATTTATGTAAAATTTCTTTTCTAACTGCGATAGAGTACTTCGGGGTAATTAGAGGCACTCTTCGAAAGTTTCTTCCTTTTTTTGCTATTTATTGGCTGTTTTTGATCGGAAAAAGTTGCTATTGAACATGATGGTAGACCAAACATTTTTCTATACGCTCATGTAAAAATCTTTTCAAAAACTCCGGCCAATTTTGAGCCAGATCCAAAATGCGAAGAGCTCTAACAAAGTGCCTCTAATTACCCCGTACGGGGTACCCCGTACGGGGTAATTAGAGGCACTCCATTCAAATACGCTTGGGGTAAATAGAGGCACTCCATTCAAATACATGGAGTTTTAATTTACAATTGCTGGTTAATTACGCTTAGGAGATAATTAGTTCAAAAATACCTCATTTTGTAGCCCAGATCTTCCTCTCTCTACCATATAGTTTTGAGCTCATTATCATTTAAACTCATTAAGCTAATTAGCATATAATCAACAGCACTAGAATTTTTCTTTTTTTTCTTTTTATGCTTTGGGGTAAATAGAGGCACTCCACTGAAATACACGGAATGGTCAGAGACAAACCTTTACCGACTCTCAGAAGCCGAATTTAGTATTAGACCAAGTGGCAAAGTTCTTCAAACTGCTGAACTCTATCACATATGTGAAAATTAGCTCATTATACCAGTGGATAAGCTATCATACTGGCTTCACACTATGTACGATATTAATTTGAATATATTTTATGGACTAAATTAGTTTTAAAAGTAAGTATGACACCTAGAGACAAAAACTGTTGATAAAATCTTCTGTCTATAGCGTACATAAGCATCTCCTCTATCAAATGCAAAAACAATCATCTGAAAATTGTGAGAACTACGCAAGATAACATCAAATTATCCGACATATGTCTCCTCTGAACGAAACATACAATACGATATCAACAGAAAATTGCCATCAGATCACAAAGCATCTTCCATTGCATGCACAACTTGCTCTAATGAAGCCTGTCTATATTGTTCTGGTAACCAACGTCCATTCGTCTGCACAATTAGACGTTATGCCAACGACGCAATCCTTTTTGATTAATTAGTACATACAATATATAGTTGGTTTTTTGTTCTTAACACTAAACTTGTTTCAATTACTGTTGTATATGAAAAATAGGTGCAATATCATTGCTTTGTGATCTGATGGCAATTTTCTGTTGATATCGTATTGTATGTTTCATTCAGAGGAGACATATATAAGACATATGTCCAAGAAATAGCAAAAAAAGGAAGAAACTTTCGAAGAGTGCCTCTAATTACCCCGAAGTACTCTATTTTACCATGAAAAGCATCATAGAATGCATAACTATCACAAAGTATTTTTATTTACTTTATAACTGAAAATGATACTGTAACTAGAGAAGCATAGGCTGCAGTGTGAAATATAACTTTTACTGGTACTTTCAGAAATTGTGGAGAACTAGTTAGGTATTCGCTTTGTCACTTTCTCTTAGGAAAAATACTTAGTTAGTGAAACACGCTTATTTTCTATCCGTTTTAAACTAGTCATTTTACAGATAAGGATAGGAGCGAAAGATCAGATTCAGAAGAGCATGGTCTCGTGGCCCAACGGCTAAGGCGCCCGCCTACGGAGCGGGAGATTCCAGGTTCGATCCCTGGCGAGATCGTTTACTTTTTTTTCGTTCTTTTCGTCACCGTCAGTTTGTTGTTATTTCTTTTTCTTTTCTAACAGTATGTGATGTAAGGTCATCTCGACTCGATTTTGTCTTTGAATAATTGTAATGAGTGTATGATTACAGAACTCATTTCTTTTTTTAATCGTACTCACAGTTTGTCCAGAAAAGAGGCACGACTCTCTTTTTCGAAATATGAATTTAGTATTATTGATAATTTCGTTAAAAATGGATCTTTGATAGTTTCGAACGATCGCTCTCGTAACTTTCCCGCGCTTACTGTTCACGAGTTGTTTTTTGGATTGTTCAGTTTTTGTGGGGGTTATTAGGCTGGGAACTAATACCTAATTAAAATTTTTTGTTGATGATTGTACTTGTTAAACTCTAAAGTGTCTGTTGATGCTAAACTATTTGTTTTTGAAAGTAAAATTATCACCGTGAAGTACAAAAAGCAAAGAAAGCAAAGAGATGAAAGAAGAAGTCGCCCATCATTTCACTTGAAATATCTTCATATGAGAGAGTTACGAAACTCAATCACATGAATCAAGAAAGTCAATATCCCATGCGGAATCATTACGTTTTACTCCTAGAAAAATACAGGATAATTTCACGGGTGATTAAATTGTGCTTTTTTTATGTTAACGTAATCAATGGATATGATCAGTAATCGAAACAAACCATCCAGCAGTTTATTTTATGCACGGATCTATAGAAATATAGAAGAAAAGGCTTCTACAATAAACAGAATGAAAAACAGATGAAATTCTGTAACGACCACTCTTTTCTCTTTCCACCACTTGGTAGCGAGAACAAAACAAAAGCAAATAGACATTCAAATAGCTCTCATGTTTACCTACAACTTCGTCGTGAGGAATTTGTTCATAGCACATTTACGTTCGAAGCATTTTTTGTTATACTGAAAATATTCGAAAATCACTTCCATTTTTTGAAATTCCGTAACAGTGAGTAATTTCAAGTTTTCTCTCTATAAATGCGAGCCAGAGACTTCAAATTTTCACCGCAGCTAGAACTTCACTAACTACACTTGTAATAAAATTTTTAACTCTGAGGCTCATCCATGTCAAAAATTAGAGCGTTCAAAATTCTAAAAATGAAATTCCGTAACGTTTGGCCAAGCTGTATGGGAAATGGAGAGATTAAAGTTGTGAATATTGGCTATGGTTTGAGAGAGTTTACATTTTTGGACAATAGTACAGTGACATTAGGTGGCAGCGTTGGTAAATTAAATGTCATCAGCTGAGGTAAAGGAACAGTTGATGCAAGGAGCATAACAACACCAAATGTTGACGCAACTCTAACCTAACAGGTAGTGATTCACTTCAAGTGAAATCAACGACTAACATGAATCTAACGGAAATTTTTTTTTCTAAATCAGTGTTTCATGTAGACTCAGCAAAAAAAGCTTTCAAGTCTCTAACTCTTACCGTTAAACAACTGTAACCTATTTCCTATAACAAGCGCCTTTTTCTGAATACTGGCTCTCTTCGGATTTTTGCCTGTTTTAACGTCAAAAAATAACTTCTCAAAAAAAAAGAGGTGATTAGATTCACCTCAGCGAATTGCATCTGCCTACGTAAAAGAATCGAAAAAACAAAAAGCGCTCAAATTAAATTTGTTTAACCTTATAAGGTTTGTTTAACCTTATGTGTCTCTCATTCTCTCTACTTTTAACTATTTCTCTTCTTTTATTTTTTTCTGACTTTTTTTATGATAATAACGAAGGCACATGTTCGAAAAAAGATATTACGAACGACATGTTCATTTCAAAATAAAAATCTATGCTCGTTATAATTGTTTAGCGGCCATATTGATTGTTTGCTGTATTAAATGACTTACACTCTGCTCCACATTCACATATTACGGCTCTGCTTACGTTATACTTCTCTGCCTTTATTCTGTCATAGCTTACGTCACCTCCTACGTCTTCCTGCACAATATAAGAAATATATATACGTGAAGAAGAAAAGAAACTAGAAGTTGAAGGTCACACTGACTTTGTCGTTTTTTGGTGCTATTCTTTTTTTGAGGTAAGATTGTTTTTTACCTTTTTGTGTGATTTTCGTATACCAGTTTATAGTGATAAAGCTTTATTTGCATGCGTTGTTCTGAATAAAATAGTTTGTGAGAGATATTTTGGTCACATTTCTGTTTTTGGTGTCCTTTGAAACTCCAGAAGATGATGTCTGATTGGACTAAAACTTTTACAGGGTTGCGAGAAATGTTTTGCCCGGGGGGGTATAGCTTCAATGACAAATGATATCAATATTGAATTTTATACCAAATGAAAGTTCGTGAAAAATGAGGTTAAAATGAGGTTAGGTGCAGTTAATAATCCGATAGACTATTGTCACCTATATAGAACGAAATGAATTTCAAAAATTTCACATAAGACAATTTTTCCGACTGTTATGATTTTTACTTTTGTTACGGTCATAACGGTTTTCTTTTTTCTCGAACGTTGTTATCAACAGAGTATCATCGTGAGCACCACTTGACACACATATATACCTCTCTTCTCTTGCGTTCTGCTGACTTTTGTGTATAAAATATACGTATTCTCTATTCTTCTTACTGGTATGTTGAGGTGCACTTCTCTCTCTATTTCATTCCTTGGTATTTTATATCAGACACGTACAGTTTCTTCCGTGCATTTCTATTGCACATGACGTCAGGATTTCGCTTCTTCGATATATTCTCTCTCAGGGATGTTCAAGCACAAAAATCATACCATCGATGTTTTGCAAAACATGGAAACAGGCACAGAACTTTTTGAAAACCTTTTATGTTCATACCCCTCAAGATTACGTGCTGTGAAAAAAGCGAGCGGTGGTCACACAGATTATTGATTATGCTAATGAACTTCAAAAAGAATAAACATTAAACTAATAAATCTATCAGTTTAAAGTCAAATAATTTCAAATAATATCTTCTGAAAAAAAGTTTTCTCAGTCGTTCCCTATCCTAAAATTTTCAGTAAACCTATAGTCAATGACTATCGATCACATTACCAACTATACCTGTTAACCCCGTTTTTTTTCACGAGCTTTCATTTGGTATAAAATTCAATATTGATATCATTTGTCATTGGAGCTATACCCCCCCGGGCAAAAGATTTCTCGCAACCCTGTACTAGAGATAGAATATCGAAAAAGAAAATCGACTTATTTTGTTTCAGACTTTTGTCACATGTTCTTGTGTGAGCTTTCTTTTGTTTATTTTAAACTTCAACTCTCATCTCTCTTGTCCAATGGCTCTGAAATCGAGTTATCACATCTGTGCATCTGTGTCCAAATGTACCGAGATAATGAACCGTAGACAGCTTATCCAAGACTATCGCGCGACCACCGTTGCCGGGATTCGAACTTCGTATGTTTGAAGTACATTGTCTGTCCACTAGCCGACCGAGTCTCACGCTGGTTTTCATATGCCATTTCTCAGCAAAACTAAATTCAGGTTGCAACTTTCCTTGGTTGGATATGCGAATGGAGTTGCTCTACATTACTCGTAGCAGTTTGAATTTTGCATAACTGTTGTTTTGCGAAAAAGCATGTTCTAACGAACTGTGTGCCATTTAATCTTCGTTTTTGTTTCGACTTAGTTGTTACGAACTTTGTGATCGGAGCCTCATAGTGTGCAAACAAGAGGTCAGGAATTATGAGTTAACAACTTCTATTACGTCTATTTTTGAACCTTTCAGTATCGTTTAGATATATAACGTTTCTAAAAACAATTAACTAAGATGGGTGGATATTCTGAGACTTCTCGTAATATTCAGTATTCCAATGGATTTCTTTTTGCACAATGTAAAAGCAGAGAAGGAAAATATATTGATTCACAGTTAAATTTAACCAATTGGTTTGCAAATCATGATGGTACATTGGTCAAACAGCAGAGTGGTCATTTTGAAAAATCATGTACTAATATTAATGTCAATTTAAATGGTTGGTTATCATGCAATGCAACGAAAATAAGCACGCGCATAGTTCATGCTGAAATAAATCTAAATGATTTTATTTCCAACATCGATGGACAATTAACCATTGATTGTGAGAACGGTGAGTTTATTCTCAGTGCCTGAAACGTTTTTCATCAACTGTACAAATATTAAAAAATTGTTCTACTTTCATCACCATGAAATTCTTTATACGAAATGTATTATGAACTCAGATCTTTGACTAGAACGATAACCTCTCTAACTATCTTATCGCTTCTTCGCTGAAACATACTTTGATTCATCAGACTTTTGACTGTTTCGTGAGTATGATATCCGTTTTAGTGTTAGGCTTCTTTCGAACGGATGTCTAAAAAGAAGTCTCTGAAAACCCGCTGCGCACCTTTTAGTCAAACATATTTTCAACTCCAGCTTGTAGAGCAGATAGAATTACTCATGCAAACACTCTCGGAAGTAACAAGCAATTTTTCGCATAGTTAGAAAGTTCTGATTTCTAAAAAGCTGTAGATGATGAGAAAAATCATGCATGCAAGTCGGCTATAAATAACTAAAGTGTCGAAATCTTGATAAATTTTATTCAGCGTCATTCTTATACTTACGATATTTAAAGAAAGCAGCCATAAGTTGTAGTCTCTATCTGCTCTATATCATCACGCATGATTAATATACGTATGTCAGTATTCAATTATATCATACTGATAATTACTTCCTGTCTTTGCTCCATATAGTAGAGATTGTAATTGTTCAGTTGCTATACAGAAACAATTTTGCTCCAAGTTAAGAAAAGTTAAGTAAAGTATAAGTCATTTGCATAGATAAAAGAATCTGTAATCAAGTGAGATATGTAGAAAAATTCTATCAAAATTTCTAGGAACCAGATGTCTCGAAAAGTCCTTTCAAAGAGCTATTTTTAAGGTATTTTTCTTTGCATCTAGCGAGCCACGCTTTGAAGGATTTTTAGGATTTCTCCAAAGAATTGATTTCTAGAAATTCTAATGGACTTCTAGTACATATCTCGTCTAATTATAAATTCTGATCTGGAAAAGGGAAAAAGATCTGCTTAGCTATCATGGTTCTAGAGAAAAATCAAAAATGATCAGTGCGCTCTTCACTTTAAAATAGTGTTTGAGAGACTCACAAAACACGACGTATCCTTATCTGTCAGGATATTTTATTGAAAATTTAATAGATAGTAGAGATCTGGTTTAACAGCTGATAATGTCTATTGCGAGAATGTATCCTGCTTGCACTCAACATTAAAAAGGGTTTTTGGAAAAGTTTCTGGTAAATCTAACACAGTTTTGTAGCTTCGCTCTTGGCACAAATCCATCAGAATAGTCTCTTTATTTAAAAGCAGAGCCTTGTTTTGACGTTTATATTTTAACACTGACAAATAGCACTTTAAATGGAACTTCATTACCATTCGTTAACATGGAAAATATTCATAAAAGTTTCCTATGAATTATACCTACTTAGCAGATTTATTATTCGCTGGAGTGTAATGTATCACTAAGTGACTGAGAAAAGTACTTTACATTTATATACCTTTTGTTTTATTGTATGAATGACTAGATAAGCCAGACTCACCAAAAGTAGCTGTATGGTATTGGAAATCAAATCTGGATCCGTTCGATATAAAGGAACCTGCACAATGGACAAAATATTCCAATATTGAAAATGACATTATTGAAGAAGCATTTGAAAGGAAACAAAAACAAGTCGTACTAGAAAATTATATGATAGATTTCGAAAAGAAACTTCAAATAAGTAAAAAGTACGATTCAAAACAACGACAGATCAAAAGAATTTTAACTGGTAATGAACAGAATTTAAGACATGAAAGATTTTTTATTGAGCCAAAATTAATGGAATCATTTGGTGTTTACAGCATGAGTTCAGATTTTCTAGAATCATGGATAAAAAATAGTAAACCTTCTTTGGAACGTATTGATGAAATTCTTGAACAAGCAATTAATGGCATTCTCCTTGAAGGTAAAAAACTTGGTAAAATTGCTGATGCTGAATGGTGTGCCAAACAATTGAGCCAAGTTCAAAACCAAAACAAAAATGAAATTAATCGGTGTGTGCTAAAAGTTTATACAACAGAATGTTTTCTGTATAAAATATTGAATGTAGCGTTGAGAGAAAATGATATGACAAAAGTTAATACATTAGGTCCTTTTTGTTATTTATTGAATAGTGCATTATCGAATACACAAAATATATTTTACACTGGCTATCTTTATAGAGGAGCAAAGCTTCAAAATCATATGGTAGAGGATTATTTGAAAGCTGTTAACGACGGCTGTAGATCATGGCCCGGATTTACATCAACATCAAGAAATCGAACTAATGCCGAAGAATTCGGTGACACATTATTCATTATTAATATTATAGACGAACATTCAAAAGCGCTAGATATATCATCGACATCAGTTTTCCCAAATGAAGAAGAAATATTATTACCAAATGGTTGGAATTTTATCGTTGAAAAAGTAGATATGGTTAATGGTAAAAACCATGTTTATTTAAGACGATCAAAAGATCATAACTAGGTAAACCACAACTCACCCTTATATATATATATATATATATTCAATACATGTATTGAATAAAAAACATCAATAATAATTGCAGTTTATAATTCTGCACTAACAGACATTAGTAGTGGAACGCGATTGAGCAGAAAAGAATGAAAAAAAAAAGATCATTAAAACACCTACTCAGAGTTCTTTAAAAAGCTGAAGAAAAACTGTTACGCTCGCGCATAGTTACTTTTAAAACGCTTTTGTGTAAACTGAATCAGGCCAACGTCATGACGATCTAAAAATCATGCGATTCTGTCCAAGTTGCTGATGTAACGACATTGCCCACTGCGAAAAGGAGGCAACAATCTACTTTTGATACCCTGCGAGAGTATACAAATGATTACTACACAGGTAATTGTAGCGTTTCTTATTATCAGTCTTCCTTTTTTCTCTCGAATTCAATAAAATTGATATTTTATATCTGTTCAATTTTGAACAAATATACTGAATAACACAGCAGTGCTCCTGTAGATGGATATTCTTTGTCTCTTTCTGTTCATTCATCACGAAAAAAATACGAAAAGAGAAAGCGAAAAGAAAAATATATATATTCACAACGAGAAAAAAAAGAGAGGCCCCAGTCAGTCACCTATATGTTTGGAAAATTCGTTTTAACGCGGTTTTAGCATTAATAGAGCGCGAGAATATACACTTTTGCCATGAATATGGCGAATTTCTTGAGTTTTAAATATACGCCTCAATCAAAACCGCGTTTTTGCCATCAGTTATTCGCGAGAAACGCGTTTATGAACATTATAACTTTTTAAAAACGCGTTTGCAGTCGCAACAGACTTTAAGAGTCGCGAACGCCACCGAAGTTTTCGCGTTTACGATTCACTTGAAACGAATTTAACGCGTTTTGGCTAAAAATAAAATTTGAAAAACGCCTTTCACTTTTTCTTTGATACGTGAAACTCGTTTCGTAGACTAAAGTCGCGAAATTAGGCATTTCTATAACAAATAATGAGTGAAAATGCGTTTTAACGCAATGCAACGCGAGATTGACTCAAGAACCGCGAAAAAACGAAAAAAAAGAGCGAAAAAACGCGAATTTAGCTTCAAAGTATGGCGCCAAACTCTGTTTAGGAAAAATATAGCGCACTTAACGCAACCTTTGATTACGTCAAACGCGATTTTCGCGCTTTTTATTTCAAACGAATTTCTCAGCGGTAAATTTTTCGTTAACAGAGTTTTGCGCGATATTTTGAAGCTAAAACCGCGTTAAAACGAATTTTCAAAACATATAGATGACTGACTTGGAAAGCAATAAAAGGCGTTAATTTTCAGGTAAAAACAGTTTTTCCTCTATTTCTCGAAAACTAGACTTTGCATCCAAAAAACAGACGCCAAATCCATAAAAAACCGAATCACAATACATATACCGTCTTCTTCTGAACCGGACGAAAGTACAATCGACCCGTGTTTGAAGAAAAAACTTTTTCTCCGACCGAATGAGTTCTTTCCACATTGTATTTCTCTTGAATAGAATTTGATCTTAAACAAAAGAGAGATCTAAGTAAGAAATATAGCACTGCGACAAAATGCATGTTCAAGTTATCACTTAAAACACTACTCGGGCTTTCGACCTTTATTCAAGGGTCATCATCAGGAGTGAATGACAAAAAGAAAAAAGTGTACATATCAACAAAAATTTTTGAAGAAGAACAGAAAGAAATGAAAAATGAAAAATTGAAATGCGCAATTTAAGAA